AAGAAGAAAAGACTATAAAACATCTTCTATGTGAATGCAAGGCTTTGTATAGGAAAAAAATCGTAACTATCAGTCGAGGTTTCTTGATATTGTCTCGGAGGTTGCATAAATAAAACTTTTATCCACTCTATCTACACACTTACAACAACAACAACATCAAAAAATAATTAAATATTTAAGCATTTTTGGTAATCAATTACCTTATATTTTGTTCGTCGATCAAATTTTAGTTTATATACATATATCTTTGATTTGAATCCATATCTGCTTAACAAAAATTGGTCTCATTTTCCTAATAGGTGGTACAAACATATGTAAATTAGTATTAGTATTATTAGCATTAAGCTCAACTTGTAACCTTCGGGTATATTTCAGGCATGTCAAATAATGAATTCTAGGAAAAGTTTAGAAAAATGCGTGAATCGTTCACTGCGCTTTGAGCTTTTCATTGAAAATTGGAAACAAAATGTTTCAATAACTAAGTAGCTATTGGAATCTACACATTGGTGTCGGTAGAAGGATTTTAAGCAATAGTGGCGTGTAAAAGGGTATATATGTAAGTATATGTACATATGTAAAATACTATGTTATCTCAAAAACTGAGGGACTAGTTTGCGTATATACAGACTGACTGACGAACATGACTAAATCGATTGAGACCATCTCGCTGATCAAGTCTATGTACTTATATACTAAATGGGGTCTCCGACGTTTTCTTATGTGTATTACAAACTTTGTGGCAAACTAATTATACCCGATGCAAGGTATAAAGCTATAGTTATGAGTTAAATAAATGTATAGTTAATCAGGTACTTAAGCTACGTCTACTAAGAAGATTTTTGTCCGTTACTAATAATAAATTTGTGTTTCCTATTTTAACGGTAGTTGAAGATGTCTTTTAAATTGTGTGATTGTCTCCTTTCAGATATATATATATATTTTTTGAAGTTTCGTGTACCATTAATTACTAACGGTTACTAAGCAACTTTTTTATTTTTTAGCTGAAGGGATTTTTTTATATTTCGGCCCATTTTTTTAATACTTTATTTTTTATTTTTTTAAAGTTAGATCCTTTTGCTTTTGAGCTGCCATAGTGATTTCCTACCCAATTTTATAAACTCCAAAGTATTTTTAAAAATATTTAATATAAAAATAGTTTACGTCATATACGGCATATACTGCATTTACCATATACATATGGTATAAATATGAAAATTTTTCAGATTCTGCTGATAAAATATTAAAACTCATACGCAAACAATATCATACAGAAGATAAACAATAAGAGTAATATAAATTAAAAATGAAGATAAGCGCAGCGCTCATACTGTCACTCAGTATATTTTCTATAAAATATCATAATACAATGAGCAGTAGCTGGGAACGCGTTCGTCTTCGTGTCGAGACCAAAGAGGTGCATATTGAAAATTCATCTTATTGATTCTTTAACTTAATATTCCCTTATGTATGCTTTTTAGGGTTTTGAGCCGGTTAGCAATAATAGCGTGAGCGCTGATGTGCGCACTATATCTGCGCATATATTGGACACAACAGTAGGTCAGGCGGTAGCAAATGTCAACATTACCATTCACCGTCTAGAGGGCGAAAATAATTGGCAGAAACTGAGTGAGGCAACTACCAATAAAGATGGTCGTGTGAACCAATTAGTGCCCGCATCGCACTACAAATCCGGCATCTATAAGTTGCACTTCGATGTGAAACCATATCATGCTGAACGTGGCGTTAATAGTTTTTATCC